CAAATAAATAAAACATGTGTATCTTCATTATTTTTTACTTTATTAGCATTAAATTGATATTTAAGAATTAATGTGATAGATAAGGTTGCAAACTACTGCACATTTTCTCAAATTGAAGCTTTTACAATATTTCGCGGCGCACAGTTTGGGAATCACTGGTCTAAAGATATATCCAATCTAAGCAAGTGTTTCAATAGAACATTTCTACTGTACTTATTTAACTGCATCCTAAGCGTTCTCTCTTCACAAGCTCAAAACTTGGTAACGGTCGGCTAAGTCTTATTTTATCCACTTTATTGGCGTGATCCTACCGTCCCAGTCACCCATATGGCTTCAAGTCCTGTGCACTTATTGATATTAACTGAATATAGACGATTGCTTACAAAATTAGCCACATTTTTTCCCATTCTATGCATTTTTGCATTGACTATGTCTTTTGCGAGATAGTCTAATGTCAATTACGAGTGATCCGAGTTAGTGGGCAATGCGCTCTTCCCTAAACAATTTCACTCGAAATGAAAGTTAGCTCAACAATTATGAAACAAGAGATTCCTTGAAACCCAATTGACAGTTGAATTTTCCTACATGGCCTTATGTTTCCACTGAATTTCACATAGCCTAGCTTCGCCAAATGTATTCTCATTCAGGGTAGGGTGCAGTTTTGATCTCGCACACGAAAGCCTACGTTATCTGAACATAATCGTTTGCAATAGTAAAGAACAAGTTTATATGAAATGTATTCACCATATTTCGTTTAGGATGGTCAAAAACTGATAGATACATTGTTCCACAATCATCACGTTTTCATTGAATTTCGCATATCCTTGCTTCCCAAAAAGTATTTTCACCCAGGCAATAGTGGACCACAGTTTCTATCTCGCCACGGTCTCATCAACACTCTTAGCGGGACTCGAACTCTGGCAGTTCTTCGTACAATCTCGACTTGTTGCTCACTACGCCACACCTCAGCGAGGGCCCTTGAGTCCCGGGGTAGATGTGGATTTCAAGAAAGACCAGGCCTTTCCTCATATTTCATTCTGCGGTGAGATTGTCAATGAAACATTGTTGATTCTGCTATAAAAATCGACTACATTACTTATTTAATTAAGTAGGTTTTCGAAACTCATGTGTTCTAAAAGTAGTCTCGAATATCTTCTCTTAAAATCAAAAATAGGTAATGTAATCGATGGCTAAAGTAAATGCAACTATGCTTAACTGAAAATCCGACAAAATAATTTGATATGAGAAGGGTCCTTCCATGAAATTTGCCTCTGCCCTGGGGACCAAAGACACTTGTGTGCGTATCGTAGTCGTTAACATGTCGAGACTATGCGCTGCATTACCACAATCCGGATTTGAGTCCCGCTGAGGGGTGCTGAGGAGCTGCTTGGATGATAATACCTTTTAGGAAGTAATGCTATGTGAAATTCAATAGGAATGTAAGGCTTACTCATATCATTGTTGGAAAATTCAACTACCCGTCCTTATACCTTATACGACCTTGGCTAAATAGGATTATTATTCAAGACTCACTGATAATATTGAAAACCACCTTTCTCTGAACAGTTATATACAGGGAACCAGTGCGTTAGACTAGGAATAATTTTAGATGTTAAGATTGAATAGGTTTCGATTCTTCCGGCTCATCGCTTTTCTGGTTGTACTACTCCATTCCCGACCCATTTGTAGCCGTCTCCTGAGGCTTGGTTTGGCTTACTTATCTATGCCTATTTTTATATTTACGCTATTTTTTCCCCACCTTACTAACATTTTCTATGCATTATTATCGCTTATATCTTTATCACTATGCCAACTAGTTCAAGTTAAGATATGCTGGCCATTCATTTTTGTCTAAGCCCCTAGCGGATACTTCGAGTGTATTTTTGTTTCTTTATTCACTCACTGCCACGGACAGGAAAGTTAGTGTGCATGCCCACCTCCTTGTCCGTGAGCTTTTGAGTATTTGTAGTGCTTGCGTGTGTTTTGTCTCGCTAGTCTTAGCAGTCTCAGCCCAGAGTATGCGTTCCACCAGAATAAACAGGATCCTTCTTGCCCGACTCTGGCTGTCCTGATGCCGCAAAGGGCCTGTTCCCTGGTCAACTGCCCGAGGTCGCAAGTCGGGTGATGCGGGGGAGACGGCGGCTGGGCCCGCGGCGTCATGACATTGGCCGGAATGAGGCTGAGCGAAACCGGCGGGCCGGGCTGGGGCAGGACAAGAGGGGATCAGATGAAGTCGCGTCGTCGGGCCAGACTGATCTCATGAATCTATCTATGCATGCCGCTCTTCTATTGTCGAAGGAATGGAAAATAAAAAATACTCAGGCAAATGCTACTCGACCCGCTCAGCATGTCAATGCGGTACACGCGGGCAAAACTGGTGTTCTACTGAGTTATGCACGGATGGATAGAGAATTAATGCGTTTTAACCCCTATGGCCTT